GACCCTTGTGATGACATTGGGCCCACCTGGACAGTTCAGGCTAGTATCCCTATCTCAAGAACCTGAATTTAATCACCTCTGCAAAGTCCCTTTTACCATGGAAAATAACATATGCACAGGTTTCTGGGATTTGGGTGTGGACATGTTTGGGGGAGATATTATTCTGTCAATCATACCTTCTAATAACTCCATTCTGTACTTCTCTTTACCCCTGCAGAACAAAATGCAGGCTGAGGGGCATCTCTCAAGCTTGGATATTGAAGAGGCTAAGAGTATGGGCTTTAGCTTCTAAGAGTGTCAATGTTTGAGTCAATTTTGTTGTTGTTGTTGTTGAGTGAAAAATAAATAAGGATTATGGTATCACTCCATTTGAAAAGAAAGCAGCATCATGCTTCCTCCCAGGTGTCTTGTAAGCTCAAGTTTTGTTTCAAAAAGTAACATCTTCACTATTATCACTGTCATAGAAATAGCTTTGTCCCTGTGGTAGATCTGCATCTTTCTTTGGTGATGGAGCACTTCTTGAATTTTCTAGACTTACTACAGAGCAGACTTATTACAATCAAAGTGAATGATGGGGGTACAGACTCTAACCTGCATCATAGCAAACCCTTGAGCTCAGTGGTTCTGAACCTTGGCTGCATGTGAGAATCAGTCAGGGAACATTAGAAAATATGAATGTTGTCTTAGCTTGGACTGCCACAACAAAATAACCCCATATGGTCTCTCTTTGGGCTAATAATCCCAAATACACCCAAGAAGTTTAAAAATCTAAAAAGTTAAAAATCACAGGCTGCAATATATGATGGACTGAAAGAAACCTAAAGCATTGCACTTCACTTTTTATTATGCTAAGTGTAGTCATTTGTGAACAGTTTGAGAAAAGAAACATATATTACTTGATTGTGTTGGACTGTTTTAATTGAGAGAACAAAATGAAGGCTCAAGAAAAAATGTAAACTGGCCAGGTTCTGTTTTGCCAGACTTAGGAATGTGTTTTAATTCTATTTGTTCAAGATAGAACATGGTGAAAATGATGGAACATCTTCCTTCTCTCCGTCTGCTGTTCCCCATCTTGGAGATTACTGTTACTATATGCCCAGTTAACTCAAGCTAGAAACCCAAGAAGCATCCTACATTACTCCTTCTCTGTCCTCCATTGCATTTGGTTTGTCACCAGGCATCTATGTAGTGCTGTCCCCTATGTCTGTTCAAATTGGAATCAGCATCATACCTAGCCCAGAGTCTTTTCTCATCTCTGCATCTTTGATTTGCTCTCTCCTTCAATTCCTTAAGAAATGTGTTTCCAGTTATCTTCCCCATGTGCAAATCTGCTTGTGTTCCTCTCTTACTCATGGTTCCTGAATGACTAGCCATCACCTATGGAGAAAAATCTAATCTACCTTGCATTGCCAACAGAGAAGCCCTACAGGGTCTGGCCCTGACTTCTGCTTGGCTTCACTTCCTGCTGTTTCCCTCCTTCCAGCCTTGTAATTTCCTGAACAAGCCTGTTCTCTCGAACTCATTTGCCTTGGCACCCACTGTTTTCTCTCAAGTTGCATTTCTCCTCGGCAGATGCTTACCCCTCTTACTCAACTTGCAAGTCTCTACTGAAACACTACTTTCTCTATAAAGCCTTCCTTGATCCCCCAGAAAAATGGCAAAGTCCTGCCCCTCCAGGCTTTGTACTCTTTGAGAACAAGGACTGTGTTGTCATCTTAATTCCAAGCCTATTTCAGTGCTTAGCATGAAATAGGTGCTCATTAAATATTGTTTGAATTAACCAGGAGGACATAGGAAATAAGAACAAAATGTTCCTTCTAGGAATTGGTTTATTTCAGTCCTAAGCTATAGTTCAGAGGTTGGCAAACTACAGCACACCAGCCAGACCCAGCCTGCCACCTGTTTTTGTAAATAAAGTTTTATTGGAATATGGCCACACTCATTTATTTATAAATTATCTGTGGCTACTTTCATGCCACAAAGACACTGTTGAGTAGTTGTGACAGAAATCACATGGCTTATGAAGCCTGAAATATTTACCATTTGGCCCTTTACAGAAAATGTTGTCAAACCCCTGCTATAGATAATTAAGACCATTGGAGGTCATGTTTTTAAATGCTTTTAAAGAATAGATATGTAATTCTATTTTTTAAATTCAAATAGATTTAGGGGGTACAAGTGTATTTTTGTTACACTAGTGAATTTAATTGTGGGGGAGTCTAGGCTTTTAATATACCTGTCACCTGAATAGTGTACACTATGCCCTATAGGTAATTTTTCACCCCACACCTCCTTCCCACCCTCCTTCTGAATCTCCAATGTCTATTAAGTTACTCTATATGACCATGCATACCCATTGCTTAGCTCCCACTTATAAGTGAGAACGTGCAGTATTTGGTTTTTTCTTCCTGGTTTACTTCCAGTTCCATCCAAGTTGCTGCAAAAGACATTAATTCCTTCTTTTTGATGGCTGAGTAGTAATCCATTGTATTTACATACCACATTTTCTGTGTCCATTCATCCATTGGTGGACACTTAGGTTGGTTCATATATGGATCTTTGCAATTGTGAATTATGCTGCAATGAATATATGGATGCAGGTGTCTTTTTAATAAAATGATTTTTTTTACTTTGGGTAGATACCTAGTAGTGAGATTGCTGGATCAAATGGTAGGTCTATTTTTAGTTCTTTGAGGAATCTCCACACTCATTTCCATGTATGCTGTACTAATTTACATTTCCATCAACAGTGTACAAGCATTCCCTTTAGCCATCAGCTCTCTTTAGTACCTAAGCCTCATATCAAAAAGTTATAAACTCACCTGAGACTTTCAATCTGGGGCGGGGGGAAGCAATTTACCAATAGTGTACCTTGTGGTTCCCTAAGCTTAGAGGGTGTGTGTGAGGTGTACCCAAGGCCCGAGTTCCCAACTCCTAACAGTTTAAACTTGTGCTTATTCTATTTATACCAGAAAAAGAAAAAAAAATTCCCAATAGACCAGCCCTGGAAGGATTTTCTTCGTTCACCAAATGTGATTGCAGCCTACCGACTTTGACTAGATTTGCCCACTCGCTCCTCTCCCCACATCCCTTCCTGCAGCATCTTCCCTGAACTCTTCCCAGGCTTCTCGAGACGTAAATTCATATGTGTCAAGATAAACCAAAAGCCCTCCCTTCCTTTAGCTCTTGCTCAAATGCTACCTTGTCCACGAGGTCTTTCCCGGCCACTTTGCCTAAAACTGCAAATCCCTCTCCTTGACTTCCCCTCCCTGCTCTTTTTTCCTCCCTAGAAGTTGTCATTAGTTAACAATATACCTTTTACTGACCTTGTTCATTCTGCCCCTACCAGTGTATAGTATTTCCATTTTTGTTAAACGAATGAATGAAATCCTAGATAAAGAGGAGACTATATCACAGAATTTATGTAACGCCATTCACTGTTTGGAATGAACATTCTAGGCAGGAATTTGCCACCAATGTGGAATGAAGTATCTTAGTGGTTGCTGGAGACATTTTTTTCTGTCTTCCTTCTTTAAGTGACTTATTTAAGATGATTAAGTCTTAATGGGATTCCATAAGTGTTCCACCCATTGCAATAAGTCCCTGGCAGTGCCTGTCTGGGCCAGCACCTCTTCCCCCTCGACTCTGCAACTATTTTTTTCTTGATTGTTGCGGTAACAATAGCTGTCTCTTCAAATCTGTTGCACCATGGCTAGTATCTGTGATTCATAAGAAGTCCTCTTTAGTAAGGAGACCCTGGGTTTCAGAGGACTGGGAAGTACTGTTTCTTAGGCCATCACTTCCTCACTGTCTGCATTGAGGGTGGAGCCATCCGACCAGTGGGGTATGCTTGAGTGTACATAAATGCACTCTTAGGATTATGGGAATCTTTGATTTGGCTCCTTGATATGGAGTATTTTAGCACCAAATATCTATAAATACTGTACACATATTCTTTATTGATCATCTCTCTGTACACATGGTGTTCAAAATAGCTCATGAGAGTACTATAAATAGAAACTCAGTGGTTACAATTTTAGCATAGAGTTTAAAGCACTACATTCTTAGCTTGAGTCCTGGTTCCAAATCTTACAAGCTTTATGATTTGGGGAAAATTACTTAACCTCCCTAAGCCTCAGTTTTATCATCTATATTATATTATTACATTTATATATACTATATATTACTATGATAATAATATAATATATCATAAGAATATATTATAATAATACAAGTATGGGCTCTCTTATATGTTATATATTATAATCATATTATTATTATTATATAATATTATTAAATATTACATAAGATAGGTCAAAAATGTTAACACCTCATAAGGTTGTTGGAGGGATTAACTAAAAAACCCTGGACTATAGTTCACAATAATATATGGTATAGTCTCAAATAGCTAGGAGGATAGTAAATGTTCCCAACACAAAGAAATGATAAATGTTTGAGATGATAGATATCCCAATTACCTCGATCTGATCATCATACATTATATATATGGAAACATCACTATGGATCACATAAATATGTACAGTTATTGTCATTTTTTAATAAAAGCCCTTGACACAGTCGCTGACACATGACAGGCGCTCAGTACACATCCACCCTGCAGATCCAGTATGCACGGTGGCAATTAGCATCACATTTTTCCTGTTACTGAGATACAAAAATAAAAGGTTCCCATGTGTTCCCATAAAAGGGAGGAAGTAGGACCCTTGCAGTTTCTTTCCACATGTTTTTTTTTTTTTTTTGGCCTATGTATGCATCATGAGATGAAATCACATGATCCAGCAGATACTCGAGGTTTTGACTTTTGCGACTGACTGAGAAAATCCACGGTACACTAAGAGAGGATCTCGTTTAGGGAATTGAGAGCCAATTTTGAAACACAAAGGTGAAGTTTGCTTGGCTCTATTACTGACTGAGAAAGAGGATGTTTGTGAGAGGTAGGCGACCTGTGTAACTCTTCATGTTTTTCCCTTGGCCTGCAGGGTGACTTCACCTGGAACAGCATGTCTGGCCGCAGCGTGCGGCTGAGGTCGGTCCCCATCCAGAGCCTCTCAGAGCTGGAGAGGGCTCGGCTGCAGGAAGTGGCTTTTTATCAGTTGCAGCAGGACTGTGACCTGAGCTGTCAGATCACCATTCCCAAAGGTAAGTCCCTGTCTGCCTGTCTGCCGAGGAATGCTGCCAGTCAAACGTGGGCTCTGCCAGAGCCACAAGCTCTGGGCTCTTCTCACACCTCACATTCACACAGGAAGGAAACTACAGCTTCTTGGTCATTGGCTGGCATTAGTGTCACTTTTAAAAGATGTGTTCAAGCAGGACAATTTGCATGTCAACTGATATGTTTATTTAAAGGGAGGTCAACTTGGGGCATTAAAAAGGAGAGCCCTGTATATCTCAACAGTCTACCTGGCTTTAGAAAAATGAATTAAAAAGAACTTTCAGAAAGTTGAACTTAAAGGGTCAGAAGAAAAGCTGTGTCTACCTCAATTTGTTTACAAAATAACCATTTGAAAAGAAGCCTTCGCGATCTATAAAACTTGTCATTTGACCTTATGAGACTCAGAATCAGGGATTTTTCCTAAGTTACCTCATTTGTATCTAGGTTTTCAGCTGGTGTGCTCTGTGTTGCACTGGAGCCGGCCCACGGCTGATTGGTGGTGTTTTTACACAGATCCTGATTCTGATAAAGATGAGAAGCATGTACCTGAATTCCTTTGATCCATAAAAGTCTGTCTCTGAATGTTATACTGTGCTCTATAACTATGGTCACCAAGCCCTGGGCCACAGCCCAGTACCTGTCCGTGGCCTGTTAGGAACTGGGCCATGCATCACCACCTGAGCTCCACCTCCCCGTCCCAGCCCCCCATCCATGGAAAAATTGTCTTCCGTGAAAACTGGTCCCTGGTGCCAAAAAAGTTGAAGACTGCTAGTCTTTAAAGACACTTTATAATTTGTATTAATGTGTAGCAGAAAGCTAATTTGAGGCAGAATGAAAAACTATGACATTATACAAATAGAATAAATCTACCATAAAAAGCAGCAATGGCCAGTGTGCCTGAAACTTTAAAGGAAAGCAGAAGAGGGATAGTAAGCTTCTAGAAGCTAGAAGATTGCCTTGGAGGGTTTTAGATCTGCAGAACTTCTCTTCTACGTTGTTTTCTTTTGAGGGGAAGTTGAGAGGAAGCTTCATGAATATTTATTCATAAAAGAGTTCATATATGTACACACACATGATACACACATAGACACACATGTGTGCATATACACATAAACACATAGATATATAGTTCTCAGCCAGGGATTATTTTGCTCCCCATCCTCATGGGACATCTGGCAATGTGTGGCTACACTTTTGGTTGTCACAGCTTGGGGGACAAATGCTCCTAGCATCTAGTGGGTAGAGGCTAGGTGTGCTGCTACACACCCTACGGTGCATGGGGCAGCCCCCTCACCAAGAGACATCAGGCTTCTGGTGTCCAAGTGCTGAGGCGGAACGACTTTATCATACACACAGACACACACTCACCTCCTGTCACCTATGGTGCCAGTGATGCTATCTTCTTGGCTCAGCTATGGCTAATGGAAAAAGTGCTAGTTTAGGGTCTAATGACCAGAATTTGAGAACTCGTCTCATCACTCCCCACACATGCAAGCTTGAGCAATTCATTCTCCTCTGCAATAGGAGGCTCAGTTTTTTGACTAGAAAGAGTAGCATAAAAACACTGACCACAGAGTTTTTCTTTGGATGGTAAATCTTAGGACCATGTCTTGTCTTTAAGCTGGAATCTGAGCCTCCATGGGAGGTCATGACAGCATTCAGAAGGGAGGTAGGTGAGGCCAGGGGGCTGGTGAGACACACACATGTCACTGATGTGTGCCTTGCTCCTCTGGCTTTCTTGTCACACTCTGCTCGCTCCCACAACCACAGCCAGTTCCTCCCAAGAGGAAATCCCCACCCCTATTATATTTTTTCATGTTAATTTCACACGTAGAGACCCTCAGCTAAGGTAAGCAGAAAATCACTTGGGCAATTGTGGAAAATGAGTATTGTGACTGTCAGGCCACGTGGTTCCTCTCCTTAGGACAGGCCCTCACTGAGTCTTGGTTTGGCTGTAGGATGGAGATGAGGCCTGCCCTCCCCTCCAGCTTCACTCACATGGTGGCCCACATGGGGCCCAAGAGTCCTGTCTGCCTTTAATGAGCACAAACATTTTCATTCCTTAAAAAAAATAATAGACATGTTGTTGGCCAACAACAGTATTTGTAGCAAAGGGAATGATGACTATGATAAGTTTTTGAAACCTGGATTGAATGCTTATCAGATATTCTTTGTGGCTTTGTTTTTAAATCTAGTTAATTTGATGTTTCTCTTTGTCCTTGCTTTTTAAAAAGTCCACTAAATAAATAACATTTACCAAACAGACAATTCTATAAAACTTGTCTGCTAGAGGCTCTGTCTCCATTGCTTATTTCTGAGACTGTGTGGTTCCCAACATATCCAGGGAAAGATTCATGTTATCAAAATGTTTGAAGACATTGCTGAGCTTCAGCTGTTGTTTTGATTTTTTTTTATAAAAATTGGAACTAATGATTTACAGAAAATTTTCTCACTTATGGAGGAGAAAAGGAATTGTGTGGCTGTGTGGAAAAAACCAGACTTTGCTCAAGGCTTCTGAAGCTATTGAACATAAGATTACAGACATCAAATATTTGCTGAGATCTTTGGGTGTGTGGCCAGTGGTGAGTGCTATGACAGTAGCTTTGGTCTGAGTGTGGCCACTTGGTCCCATGCAAACCTTCAAGTGGAGGTTTAAACAGAATTAGATTCACTACACGAATAATTTTTGCAGGAAAATAAATACAGCAGCCAGGATCTAAACCTGAAGAAATGATATTAAGCCTACTAAGATAGTGAGTATAATGAAAATGGAAACATATTCAAGCTCACATTTCTATCCTTTTCCACTTTAGGATGATCGTAGAGATTTATTTATGGGTACCTATTTGGAGAACCCATTCCTTCGGTGAGACTGGTGCTTTCTGGGCTCGGATAAATGATAATATAACATACTGTGTTTCCCCGAAAATAAGACCTACCCATAAAATAAACCCTAGCAGGATTTCTGAGCATTTGCGCAATAGAAGCCCTTCCCTGAAAATAAGACCTAGTGATGGGCGTGGCTACGCAGCGCATCTGCACAACCCATGCATTTTGTCGCAGAGCGGGAAACAAGATCAGCAGCCCTTCTCATCTGCCCCAGGGTGACAGCTACTATCCCAGAGGTGACCGGAAAGGTGCAGGCAGCCCCACCAACAAGGTCGGCTCCCCCTGTCAGGTCCCGGCCATCCTGTGCATGCTGCAAGCTGAGGCTTTGAGGGGAAAATGACACATCCCCTGAAATTAAGCCCTAGGGTGTCTTCTTGAGGAAATATAAATATAAGACCCTGTCTTATTTTGCGGGAAACACGGTAGTCATCAGTTGCTGGGGTTCACCATAGGGAGGAAGAATTGAGGGTTGGTGAGGAGATTGGGTACTGGAGTGATTTCCTAAAGTGGACCACAGGTCTGGGATCCAGAGTACAAGTGGAGAATTTGAGCTTCTCTCAAGCTAGAATAATAGGTGGGCATCAGTTATATGTACACAGATGCAAGTCAGTTAGCAGATGGAGGGAAAACATGTAGAATTTTACTCCAGATTGCTTCTCCACTTCCAGCAAGACAGGAAGCAATTTCATCCACTAGGAGGGAGGATAGGGTAAAGATCCTGGAGGTTTGAGGAAAGAGAGGGGAAGGATGGAAGAGAAGGGAGCTAGGGGACCAGCAATGTTGCAGGATTGCAGGGCAGCCCAAAAGGTCTGTTAGAGGTTAGTAGCTGGAAATTTAAAATGCAAAATAAACATCCTGGAAGCTAAACACCATTAAAGTAAAACATACCATTTTGTACTTTCAGTTCCCAAGCCCTGCTTAATCTAAATCTCCTCTCTTTAGGATTTGGATTTTCTAGTTGAATTCAAGAAAGGTAAAGATGGACATGGCAGTTGAGAGTATATCTGTGGTAGGCAGAATAATGGACCACCAAAGGTGACCACATCCTCATCTCTGGAACCTGTGACTATGTTACCTCACATACCAAAAGGAATTTTGCAAAATGATCACTTAAGGTCCCTGAGATAGGGGGGTTTCCTGGATTGTCTGGGTGGGCCCAAGCTAATCATGTGGGTACTTAAAAATGCAAAAACGTCCCCAGCTGTAACCAGGGAGAGGTGTAGCTATGGAAGTATGGTCAGAGAGATACAAAGTTACTGGCTTTGAAGATGAAGGAAGGAGCCACGAGCCAAGGAATTCAGGAGGCCTCTAGAAGCTGGAAAAGTCAAAGGAACAAATTCTCCCCTAGAGCCTCCAGAAAGGAACAGAGCCCTGCTGACACTTTGATTTTAGCCCAGTAAGACTCATTTCAGACTCCTAATCTCCAGAACTGTAATATGATAAATTTGAGTTGTTTAAGTCACTAAGTTTGTGGTCATTCATTACAGCAGCAGTAGAAAACTAATACAGTATCCAAGGAAATGATCATAATCCCAGACCGTGGGGTCTAAATTGAACAAGACAGAAAGTCAGAAATAAATATAAAAGACATAAAATCAATAATATAAAGATGTCAATTATGTCATTAATTATCTATAAGTTGAATGTAATTCTAAGAAAAGTACCAACAGAATTTTTTTTTGGTCATTTCACTAAATTAATCTAAGCATCATCTGGGTAAATAATTATGTGAAGGTAGTCAGGGGAAATATGATCACGAAGTCTAATGGAGATCATCCCAGTCCATTTATTAAAATATGATATAAAACTAAAGCAATTAAAATAGTATAATACTGCTTCACAATAGATAGGCAGATCAATGGGAGACAATAAGAGTTCGCCAGTGAGCTAAAATATGTATGAGAATTTATTATGTGGTAAATATGGTAGTTCTTGTTAGGGGATAAAGGAAGGATTATCATCACATTTAAATAGTGAGACAAATGTTGGTAAGAAAAAACTGGATTTTGACCTTGCTCCTTACATCAAAATAAATTGATATGGAAGAAAGATTTAAAGATAAAAAATGAAACTATAAATGTGCCAGAAGAAAATGTAT